TTTGTTATTCCAGCTATATTTACTGACCTATTTATTTTCTAATTTTGTTCCTCAAAGCATTAAACTAAGGTTTCAGCCTACATTAAATGTCTAGTTAGCTCCTTCATCCTGGTCGTGCTACTTTTTCATCGGGTCTGTTCACGTTTCTATGGCATATGCCAGAGGCCCTGCTGGACAGACAGGTGAAACTCACTGAGCAGTTTGCTTGTGGAAGGTTTGATAGCACAGGCTTAAATGGGACAGAGGGACAAGAGGGATCTTCCCAAAAGTTCATGGAAAAATTTTTATTAACATTATATACAAACTGTGCTTGGATTTCGAAATCTTTTGAACTCAGATGAACTTAGACTTTAACTCCATGTTTGCATGAGCTTTTTGAAGTGAATGGTTGTGTACTGCACAAAAGTGTGAAGATAGTGCTGCTTCTTGGAATTTACGGAGGGTAAGTGATTTCTAATCTGTGACAAAACTAAAGTTAGGGACCCACAGGTGTATTAGTTTGTGACATTGTTAAAGCTAGGAAAATACAGCCTTTACTGACAGCCCTTTTTTTTTTTTAAAAGAGATTTTTGCTATAGGGCGCTTGTGCTTATCTGAGAGACAGAGACAGGAAGTGAGAAATCACTCCCCAGGGTGGATGGCCACGCCTCAATCCCTTCTCCATTCTCCATTCTCCTCTCAGGACCCTGAACATGTGTGCTCATGCGCGCTTGCACTGGCGTTAGTTTTAAGCCACCAGGTCCGGGTCTCGAACCACAGTCGATTATGTGTGAGTCCAGCCACAGAACCCTTATGCCATCTGCCTGTCCCTACTGACAGCCTTTACTGACCACACATGAAGCTGTAGTTTGTAACTCAGCATATGTAGAACAAGCCCAAAGTTACAGATTTCCAAAGCAATCAAGCGCTAGTGTAACATTTCACTTCTCTTAAATCCTGCGTGCCTATCTTCCTCCAGTTTTGTCACTGTATGTTTGAAAATCTTGCCATAACAGTTTGTAAGCTGACAGTTTGGTAATGTGAAATGCCTAGCTTTCCTGTGGTACAGCTGTCTGAAATAGGGAATAGCAAAGTCAGAACTTACTCATGTACTCTAGCTCTGCCCCTTGTTGCCTGTGTGTCCTGTCCAGTTACTTCATTTCTGTGGGTCTAATTTTTTTTTTTCGCTATAGGGCGCGTGCGCTCGCCAGACAGAGAGAGACATAGAGACAGAAAGCGAGAAATCACCCCCCAGGGGGGATGGTCACGCTGCAATCCCTTCTCCATTCTCCTCTCGGGATCTTGGGCACGTACGCACACGTGCCCGGTGTGAGTTTTAAGCCACCGGGTCCGGGACGCAAACCGCGGTCGACTACGTGGGAGTCCAGCGACATAGCCATTACGCTAACTGCTGGTTCCCTGGGTCTCATATTTTTAACAGTTTGTAGATGTTGCTTTTAGAGCAGGGTTCACTCTAAAAGAGAACATTGTAAACAGCTGGACATTGTAACTCTTCTAGGACCCAGTGATTCTGTGGAGTGGAAATGAGCTTGAGTTTAAATTGAAATACTGCCATCTACTAGCATTGTCATCTGATAAATTGTTCAGCCTCACTTACCTCTTTTGTAAAACGTGAATGCTCTTTTCAGGGTAGTGATGAGGCTGAAATAAATACATTAACTTATAAAGCATTTATCCTAATGCCTAGACCATATAAGCCTCTTGAGTAGTAGTGACTACTGGTAATGTTTTTGTGACCAAATTGTAACTTGATGTTCCCTGTAAGTATACTATAGCAAATTCACCGTGCAGAGAGCATAGTATTAATAGTACATGTAGTTCGTTGTTATGCTGAGGGCTGCTATTTCAAAGATAGTATCTTTAAATTGAATTAGTTAACCTCTCCTTACTGGAGTAATGTCTTGTAAGTAGATTATAATAAGATGTAGTGGTAAAGGGGCCAGCAGGTGGCATAGTTGTTAAGGGACTGGGCTTCCACATGACAGACCAAAGTTCGAATCCGGGACCCAGTGACACGGCACATGCGCATGCAGGCCCAAGGTCCAGAGAGAAGAAGGGATTGTGGCATGGCCATCTCTCCTTCCCCCCAGGAGATGATGTTTCACTTCCCCTCTCTCTGTCTCTATCTTTTTCTCGTGTGAGGGCATGCACACTATGGCAAAAAAGAAAAGGGGGAAAAAAAACTATAAAAAAAAGATGTAGTGGAAGAACTTAGAACTGGAAATAAGTCTTGGCTTCCAATTCTGCCAATGTTGTTTTCTAGTTTGGGGCGAGCTCTTTAATCACTCAGACTAATTTTCTCTTTTTAAAAATGGTTATAACCTACTTCATGTACCATAGGGTGCTTGGAAAAAACAATTAAGTTTTTCTTTTAAGTAGTTAGCAAATTGTAAAGCAATTTATAACTGTTAAGGGATAAACAGTGCTTATGAATGACTTGAATGTGTTCCCCAATGGGGGGAGGAGGTGCTATAGGTTACTTAGTTTTATGTACATGTGGGGAAGGATTCAGTATTTTTTTTAAAAATATAATTATTTTATTTAACTTCATTTATTATTATTGTTTTTTTAATTTGACCAGAAAAAGAGAGAGAGACAGAGAGACAGAGAGAGCGAGAGAAAGGGAAAGTGAGAAAGCAAGCCACCAGGTCTGGGACTCAAACTGTGGTCGACCATTTGGGAGTCCAGTGCCTTTAACAACCATGCCACCTCCCGGGCCCAAGGATTCAATATTTTTTAAAGGTCTATTTATCCCAAAAGGTAGTATCTTAAGGGTTTTTATATTATGAAACTTTCTCTCTAAATAAGATAGAAGAATTTAATGAACTTTCTTATCTAGTGCTTTTTTTTTTTTTTTTGTAGGAAAGGAACATTTTTACTTAGGTAAATAAATATTTTCTGATGAACAGTCTTTCTTAGTGATTGCCTTTATAGTAAGTCTAATTTTAGACTGTGGGGTAAAATTAAAAAGTAGGCTTTTTTTTTTTTTTAAGTTATATAAAGTTCTCAGGTACAGATTTGGTATAAAGAGAATAATGTCAATAATTGTAAAATTAGATAGAAAGCTTTTATCTACAAAGGGTATGGTACACCAGAAATTTGTGTGTTCCCTAACATGCACATGGCAACATTCTAAATAGGATGTTAGTGCCACACTAAGCCCCATGCTTCATTTCTCATTTTATTCTCAAAAGCCTTCAGGTACAGTACCTGGGTAAGACACACCTCAACTTTAACATGTTTTATTTAATTTTATTTATTCTTAGTATTATTTTTTAATTTGCTATAGGGTACATGTGCTCACCAGAGAGAGAGAGAGAGGGAGGGAGAGGGAGAAAGCAAGCCACTAGGTCTGGGACTCGAAGCAGTCTGCCATGTAGAAGTTCAGAGCTTTAACCACACCGCTTGTTGGCTACCACACTTCCCACTTTTAATCTTGTTTCTCACATACCTGAAAGGCCTAGTCCCTGTTCACCTTTTATCGCTCATTTATGGAAAGGGTTTTGAATTGGAAGTAGATGACAGGACTGAGAGGAGACTGCAGGAGGAAAGGAGGACTCTTTTTTTAAAAAAAAGCTTTATCCACATATTTATTTATCTCTTTTAATTTAACCAGAGAAGGGATGAGAGAGAGAGAGAGAGAGAGAGAGAGAGAGTGAGTGCCAGCCAGCCACCAGATCCAGGACTTGAACCATGGCTGACCATGTGGGAGTCCAGCACCCTTAACCACCACACCACCTGTCTACCCCAGGAGAACTCTTGATTTTGACATTTTACCTCAACAGTTTGCCTTCTTCCCTGGAGTCATTGAAGCTTGAGCTTGAGAAGATCAGTCAGTGCCTGCTAGCAGCAAATGAAAAAAAAGTTTATTAGTCAGCCTTAAGAAGAAACATTCATTGGTGCCAGCAGGTGGTATGGTGGTTAGGGGTGCAGGACGCCAACATGGCCAACAGTGGTTCAAGTCCTGGACCTGGCAACTTGCTTTCTCACTCTCTCTCTTGCTCCCTCTCTGGTCAAATTAAAATAAGTAAATAAATAAAGTTAAATAAAATAATTCTTAAAAAAATTTCATTCACATTTCAAAAGAAATTTAAAAATTTTTAAATGTTTTTGAATACTAAAGTTCCGGCAGCTTTGTTCTTTACAGCATTTCTGGTATATTACAGATTTTAAGTACGTTTTTATGGACTAGCCTAAAAATACAAACTTTTAGCATTGTCTTTGTTGGAAACTTTTTTTTTCTTTTTAAAGCTTGAATTACCAGTTTGCAAAGTTTTGTAGATGAGGGTTGGGCAGATAAGGTCTGTAATCTGTCTGGAAGCTATCAAATGCTTTTACTCTGAAGTAATTTCTGCCTGCTTTTATTAAAGCAGTAAATCAGTCATTATGGTACACCATGGTAAGTGAGTGACCAGCCCTGTGTACCTTTAGGCTTTTGGAGAAATACAAAGTTAGCCTAAAAGTAGTCACGTTAAGGAATTGCTTTACATGGGAGAGCCAAGATGTGGGTGTAACAGTGCAAAGCAGTATATAGCCAGACAACTGATGGAATGGAGGGTGTGATGAAAATATGATCATTTTGATTCCGGAGGAAGCTTGTTGAAGAGGACAACTTCGGAAAGGCTTTGTGGAGGATTTGAGTCTTCAGCTTAGCTAATGTATAGCTAGAATATCGCTGTTAAAGGCATAACTACTTCTGAGAGCTGAAGGTAGAGAATTCACGTGGTCTAAAGGAAAGTGCACCATTTATGCCAAGTCGGGTAGGACGATGGGTCCATACGGAGGGTTACTTACACGGTGTGTTTCAGTGAGATAGCATGCCGGTGTTAATAAAGCTTTTATTGTTTGGGACAGCCATGGACACACAGTTATAAGCAGTTGGCATTGGCTTTGTCAGATAATTGGGGAGTGGAGAGTGATAGTGCTGGGCAAGCTCCATGTTTTTGTTGCCTTTAAAATGATAAAATATTGGTTGTTAGCCCATTTTCCTTCTTTTGCAGGTAAAAAACAAGAAGCAGATGAGTTTAGTGGGGACGCCTCTGTGGAAGATGATGCTTTTGTCAAGGTAAAGTGTTCATTACTCAGGTTAAGATGTTTTTCTTGAGCCTAGTATTTTGCATGATGAATTTTGTGAATTTAATTTGAACAAGTTATTGCAGTATATAGGTTAAATATGGAGACTCAAGTAATATTGTCAATCTCATCAACTGTCATAATTGAGAAATATAAATAGTATTTTTCTAGCTAAATGAGATAAAAGCTAAAAAAAGAATCTGTTTGTCTAAGCCATTAAGTAGAAGTCTGAGTCAAGGGGCCAGGGAACAAGCTATAAGGCAGTTGATCTGTTAGTTCTTGGATAGGGACGCACAGGGAAGGGGATTGGTAATTTCTTTTTTCATCTGCTCGTTGCATTTAGCTTTCATATAATAGATACAGAATTTAGATGAGTTTAGGCCTTAAAACAGAGGGAAAATCAGTGATGTGTCAGTTACTGGTAAGGATCAAATTAAGTCATTTGCTTTGTCCTTTAAAGATAAATAAGCCAGTTCTTTTTGGCAAAGAAGAAATGTATTTCAAAACTGACCAGCCAGAAAAATTATGTGATTTTAATTGGGACTGTGGTGATTCTCTATTCTATAGATATACAAGTTATTTTTGCTTGTAGGTGGGGTCTTCTATTTGTTTTGTTTTCATGTTAATGAAAAGTCTTCTGCTACTACTTAAAGTATTGTGGCGTTTACAGGATTATTTAGTGAGTATGGTTCCTCTTAAATCGTGTACTTCATATGTGCCTATCCTCCATTTTTCGTGCAATTAGTCCATGTTGTCATGTCTCTGGGTGTCTGTCTGCTTTACCATGAAGTCAGTACATTCACTCCCGTCTCTCCTCCCTCTTAGTTCTACACGCACACACATACACACACACAGCCACACTTAGGATCTTACAGTTTGAGGCCAGGCATACAATGAAGTGTTCAGTTGTTTCTCAGACTTTTGGCTAAGGTCAAGTGTAAAAAAGCATATTTGGTTGAGGAGTTAATCACGAAATCAAATAATTTTAGGCAAAAGCTGCCCAGAGATTCATTAGAATTGATGATTGCATGTCTGTAATCAGCTTTTATTTGAGCCTTTAAGAACTCTTTAGTTTTAGTATTATTATTGTAGTATATCTCCCATTAGGATTAATCCTTTGTTCTTATTTTTCCAGTTGTCTTTACTATTAAGTATATGATTAAACAGAAATTATCCATAAGCAGGAAAAACATTTGTGACTTAGTAATAAGTCTTAATTTTCAAATGTCTTTTAGCTCTTCAGTTCATAAAAGTCAAATAATACTGTCTCTTAGATGTGCAAAAAATATTTTAGGATATTTTTATTAGGATATTTTAGAATCTTTGTGTTAGGATAAATGAACTGGGTCATAATATCAGAAAGAGCAATGTAGCATTTTAAAAAATCTAACTTAAATACATCTTCAGTTTCTTTATACTTCTTGTTTCACTTTGAAAGTATTACCACATGTAATGTATTTGATAGAAATTAAGTAAATAAATTTTTCTTATCTCCCAGAGCTTGTCATTTTCAAATTTATACAATAATGGCAGGTGAATATTACCTACTGCCTAAATATATGAGTAGTGTAGCAGTTAACTTCTGTGGATAAATGAGGAGAATGGTCAAAGTTAGAACTTGAAAATAAGTTCCCTTGATCTTGATCTTTTTGCACCTGTTGTTTAATCATCATCCAACCACTTCCTCCATTTTCAACCTTCAACATTCCCATACTCATACTGAGATGAGATTGAACAGAGATGCTCTGCTTCTCCAACACCCCATGCCAAAACAGCCATTCCTGCCCTAGACCCACCTCCTGCAGTAGACATTTCTGTTGCCTTGCTACAGTTAAGCTTGAAGGATTAATTGTCATGCCCCTGCCCTTTTCTCTTTTTAATCCAGAGACCTTTTCTTAATTCTGCTAGATTAACTCTAAGAACAGAAAGGAGGAAGGAATGTTCCTTGCTTTCAACCCTTTCTCTACAGTTAAGCAAAAGAGGAAATTAAGCAGATTGCTGCTCCTGTTTCACTGGAGTACAATGTATTCAAAAGCTGGAAGGGCGAATAGACCTTCCTTTGCAGTCAGTTCAGGCTATGTTTCCCCCGCCTAACTGGCATTGTGGCAGAGTGATAGATTTCAAAACAAATAAATTTAAATTAGGCATTTGCATATTCTCTAAGAACAGACATTAATGCAACCTTTAGAATTCTTTATTATCAATTAGAAATAAACTTTATGTTTTAAAGACTTCCTGGGTCTTGACGTTACTTCTCCCTATGGCACATTCGGTAAATCAAGTCATTGCTTTGAAGCTATAATTTCTGGACAACCCCTAGAATGTGGCTTAGTAATTATTAAATAATCGGAACATAGAGTATCTATATTAACAATTTAATTAGTGTACATTTCAGTGTGAGAGATTTGAGAACTCAAGATTTGTGGTTTCATGATCCTGGTATTAGATGTCCTCTATTTTTAGACATGGTTAATATGTAAGGTAAAAGGATGGAGCTTTGCTTTGGGAATAGTGTCAAGATGGGGTCAGATCTGACACATTTAGAAATGTAAATTACCAAAAGCTTTTGGTGGATGGCCTGCACTACTTTGCCTCTAGTTGTACCAAATTTTCTTACCATTAAAAGGACTGTGAATTGGAGACTCAAGAGGCACATGAACAAGATGGAAATGACGAACTAAAGGACTCTGAAGAATTTGGTGAAAATGAAGAAGAAAATGTGCATTCCAAGGAGTTACTTTCTGCAGAAGAGAACGAGAGTGCTCATGAATTAATAGAGGCAGAAGCAATAGAAGATATAGAAAAAGAGGACATCGAAAGTCAGGTCTTTAGCCAGTTTTTTTTAAAACATGACAGATAAATTGAACTTTAAGTAAGAAAAAGTTTTTTTTTTTTTTTGTAGTTCAATTTGGAAGTCTCAGAATAAAAAAAAAATTTATACTTTGAAGTTACTCATGAAGCACCCAAATCCTACCACTTAAGGCGACCCGTTAAATTTTTGCTTTTTCTACACATGTATATATTTTTACAGTTAATACATACCATAAATTACTACTTATTCTATTTTCACATAACATACCATAATGACTTCATAATCTGTGTGTTTTACTATAATTTATTAGACTACTTTCTATGTGTCTAATAGCTAGTCCTTTGATTTTGGAAATTTAACGTTTTTTTTCCTACCCAACTATGAATGCATGTATACCAATTTCATTGTAACCTTGCCAGCATTACTTGGTGGTAGGTTTTTTTTTTTTTTTTTAATCTCCTTTTACTACTTCGGTAGTTATAAAAGGTTACGTTAATTTGATTTCTTTCTTTTTTTTTTTTTAAATCAAAGGTGGGAAAATTACTTACGGAAATTTAATTTTAAGCAATTAAAAAAAATTTTTTTTGAAATAGGCCATTTGTCCTACTTGGAAGTATGTTAGTACATCCTAAGAAAATCAGTGGATTTGGGAGTCTGTGCTGTTAGTATTCATGTGTAAACCACTTCCCTTCTACTTAGTCTAATAAATAAGGAGTGCAGGAAAGATTTTTCTAATTCTCTAGCAACAAGACTAATATTTTATGTTGACATAAAAAAATATAGTCTGAATTATTAAGCATTTTATTGAGTACCCCCTGTGTAATAGCATACAGAAAATAAGGCACATGATAAGTAGGTATAAACATAAAAGCATTCTCATGTTACCTAGATATTTTGTAAAGCAAAGCTATTGTATACCCTTTTACTTAGGAAATTGAAGCTCAAGAAGGTGAAGATGATACCTTTCTAACTGCCCAAGTAAGTTTACATTTAGTCCTATGAATTTTATAATCGTGGGTGGAAGGGCTTAGAAAAGGAATCTTATTTTGACTCCACAATTCTTTAATTCACAGAACCACCTTAAATTTAATACTGAGTTATTTACGTGGTATATAAAAAATACTTCTATTAATGGCACCTGAAATATGTGTTGCCACAAAAGTGATTGAGAGTTAATTTGAGATTCCTATCATTTTTGAAATAATATTTTTAAAGGTTTTTTTTCTCTGTGAAATATAATTCTGGTTACCAGTCTTTTGAGAATTCTGCACTCTCTTTGGTTTTTCTTTTTCTGACACTTTGGTATAAAATATTTAAAAGTACTAATATCCTTCCTTAAAACTTTATGTAAGGGGGTCAGCAGGTGGCATGGTGGCTAAGCTGCTGGATCCCTCTTAGCCAACTGCGTGGTTTGACTCCCATTCTGGGTACATGTTCACGTATGCCCCCAAATCCTCAGAGAATACAGGGGAAAGGTATTAAGGTATGACATATCCCCAGGGGGTAACTTCTCACTTCACCTCTCTTTCCATCTCTCTCTCTCTCTCTCTCTGAGAAGCACATTACACCCTATAGCAAACATACATATGTGCATACATACATGCATATGTGTATATTTTGAAATATATTAGCAAGTAAAAACATGCTAGAGAAACATTTCCAGGAACTAACTAACTGGCACCTTCTATCTAGTAAAACACTACTACAAATAATCACTAATAGCACATGAGCTCTGTGTCAAGATCTATAGTTAATCCTGATATTGATCTAGCAAGGTAGGAACTTCAGTGTTCACTTTATAAACAGAGAAGGAGACTAAAAGAACCTGCCCAAAGTTACTTGTAATTAACTGATAGTAGGAGAATCTGAAGCAAGTCCTATCTAGTTTAACAAACTACGTACAGGGCAAGGCCCGAATATTTCAGCTTCAAGTCAAAGCCAGAAAACCAGATTTTACTCATACATCCCTATACAAATATGCTGCTTAATTATGTTTTCATTATTTTTAAAAAGTATTGCTTAGGGCCTGTCAGGTGGCATAGTGGTTAAGGGTGCTGGACTCCCACATGGCAGATAGCGGTTTGAGTCCCAGACTTGACGGCTTGCTTTCTCACTTTCTCTCTCTCTGTCCCTCTCTGATCAAATTAAAAAATATAAGTAGATAAAGAAAGATAAATAATTCTTAACTACAATAATTATTTACTTATTTGGGAGAGGTCTTTGCTGTAGGGTGCGTGCACTTGCCAGAAAGAGAGAGACAGACATAAAGCAAGAAATCACCCCCTGGGGGGATGCTGCAATCCTTTTTCTTCCATTCTCCTCTCAGGATCTTGGGCATGCATGCACATGTGTCGTCCACTACATGGGAGTCCAGTGACGTAGCTGTTATACCATCTGCTGTTCCCTTAATTTATTTTTTTAATCATCATTATTTTTAAAATTTGCCATAGGGGATGTACGCATACTAAGGGCAAGGGAGTTGAGAAAGCGAGCCCAGGTTTGGGATTTGAACTGGGGTCAGCCATTTGGAGTCCAAGTGCCTTAACCACCACATTACCTTACCTACTGGCCCCCTTAATTATTCTTCTAAAAGGAAATAATGGAAGCATAAATCATGAATTTTTAAGACTATCAGTACGGAACGTCAGGGAACTGGGTGAAAGGGACTTTTTAAAATATCTTGTAGTTTTGACTTTAGAATAATGTAAATACTTTGCAAAGAGCAGATGGCATAATGGTTGAGTAATTAGACTCCCACATAGTCAACTGTGGTTGGAGTCCTGGACCCAGTGGCTTAAAACTCAGGCTAGGTTCATGTGTACACATGCCAAAAATCATGAGAGGAGAATGGAGGAGAAGGGATTGTGGCGTGGCCATCCTCCTGGGGTGAGATTTCTTGCTTTCTGTCTCTCTCTCTCTTTTTTTTTTTTTTTAAGAATTATTTCCTTTATTTCATCTATCATTATTGTTATTTTTAATTTGACCAGAGCAAAACACACACACATGCAGATAGAGAGAGAGAAAGTGAGAAAGCAAGCCATCAGGTCCGGAACATGAGCTCTGGTCAGCCATATGTGAGTCCAGCACCTTTTAACTACCGTACCACCTGCTTGCCCCGGCAAAAATCTCTTTTAAAAAAAAGAACGTAGGGACCAACAGTTAGCGTAATGGCTATGTCGCTGGACTCCTTTGACCATGGTTCAAGTCCCGGACCTGGTGGCTTAAATTCACGCCAGGCGCATGTGCATGTGTGCCCAGGATCCCGAGAGGAGAATGAAGGAGAAGGGATTGCGGCGTGGCCATCCCCCCTGGGGGGTGATTTCTCGCTTTCTGTCTCTGTCTGTCTGGCGAGTGCATGCTCCCTATAAAATTAAAGTTTCTAACTTTTTATTTTGAAATAATATAAATTCATAAGAAGTTACAGATTAACATTTAAAAGCAATACCTAAATATTGAAAATAAATGAAAGAAATCAACCTAAATATCTCTCTGCTCATGATATAACTTGTAGAGCAGAACCAGTCTAAAACTCAGTAATTTATTCATCCCTTTAGACAGGGTACATCTTTTTAAAAAAGTTATTTTATTTAGCTTTATTTATTTATCTTATTTGATCAGAAAGGGACAGAGTGAGAGAGAGGAAAGTGAGTAAGCAAGCCGCCAGATCCGGGACTCTAACCATGGTTGCCATGTGGGAGTACAGATCCCATAACCACCATGCCACCTGCCGGCCCCAAGAGAGGGGATACATCGTTTTGACAAAACTGGGGAAAAATTATTAAACTATCTTTAGCAGTGATATCATGATGTTGGCATTACCTTTCTAAAATGTTTGTATGCATACTGTGAGAAAGAAAATTATTAACTTGGAAGTGTCTGCATGAAGTGAAAGTCTGTTTTAAACGTGAAAACAAGAAGGGGCAGTATAGTGGGGAAGGTGCTGGATTCCCATATAGCCCACAGGAGTTGGGGTTGAACTGTTCTGTCGGCCCTGTGGGATTCAACTGCCTTAACCTCCATGCTACTTGCTAGCTCATCACTTGTTAATATTTTCATTCTTAAAAATTTCCTCATTTCCTCTGGGGCCAGCAGGTAGCATAGTGGTAAATGTGGTAGACTCCCACGTGGCTCGTCGCTCTTGGAGTCCCAGATACTATAGCCTGAAACTCATGCTGGTCACATATATATGCAAGCTCAAAATCCCAAGGAGAGGGTGGAGGAGAAGGGAGTGGCCTTCCCCCAGAGAGGTGATTCTCACTTTCCTTCTCACTGTCTCTCAGCGAGCACGCACCCCCTATAGCAAAAACCTTAAAAGATTTTTTCCCCTCTAGCCTCTACAGTTCAGTCTTCTGTGATCACACCATGTATATTCCTTTTCTGTTTGCCTTTGCCGCTAATGTTTCATTTACCTGCATGGCCTTCCCCTTCTTTTCTCCTTAAGAAATCGATATACCTCTCGAGGCCAGATTGACCCCATCTCCTCCATAAAGCTTTCTTTAATACCTCTTCCTGTGCAGTGCTTTACTGTGTGCAGGCAGCTTTTTATATCCATTAATTTAATCTATAATACAGCTTACACAGGTCACATGCCATCTGTATACGTAAGATTCATCTAGATAGATGGATTTTAGCTGACTCGCTGGTAAGATAGAATAGATATCTAACTCTCGTAATATGTAGTCTGGTGTTCTTTTCATTGAATAACCTCACACTTACGAATGTTTTCGGAGTTCCATTGTACTTAGTGCCTTACCAAAGTTAAGCCCTTGAGAGACTTAAAATTAAGTAGTTCAGTCTTTCCAGCCAAAAACAGCAGTGTTTTATACTACCATTTATTCAGTAAATTTATTCAACAAATATTTATTGAGTGCTTATTTTATGCGAGACATTTTGTGTTTCTCACAGTGGTTAGCATATGCCCGAGAGAGCTGGCATTTTATGGTTCGAGGTTATTTTGAAGGTTTACTTTGAATCGGTCAGACTAAATACACTGTCCCCTACATTATGAGCCAGAGGAAAGATGGGCTTCCCTAGCACATCCGTGTGCAGGTAGCATAAGGTTAACTTGGGGAAGCAAGCAGCATGGGTATATAGTAAGCACATGGGTAGTGAAAAATAAGTTCTGGACATGTCTTTGCCTCTGAGTAGGCATCGTTGTTCCTAGAACAAAATGAAAATAAAGAGGGCCAGCAGGTCTCATGGTGGTTGAGGCTCTGGATCCAACATGACCAACTGGGTGGTTCAAGTCCTGGACTCAGCAGCTTGAAAATCAAGCTGAGGGGCTGGCAGGTAGCATGTTGGTTAGGCTCTGGACTGCTACATGACTGATCATGGTTTGAGTCTCACACCTGGAGGCTTGCTTTCTATTTTCACTCCTTCTCTGTCAGTTTCTGTCTGATCAAATTAAAAATAAATAATAATAATAGTAGTAGTAGTAATAAATAAATAATTCTTTAGCAAAAGGAAAAGGAGAATAAAGCCAATTGTGAGTGTGTGTGCTTAAAAATCCCAAGGATGAGAGGAGAGGACATTGCAGCCTGGCCATCCCTGGGGGGACTGATTTTTTTATTCTGTCTGTCTCCAGTGAGCGTATGAGTTCTATGACAAAAACCTTTAAAAAAAGGAAAAATAATGGTAGGAAGCTTTGTATTTCTTTTAGAATTTAAGTGGTTTTGTTTATTGTTTTTGTTTTTTTTTTAATCTTTTTTAGCATAGGGTTGTGTACTTGCAGGAGAGAGACAGAGACAATGAGAGGGGAAGTGAGAAATCATCCCCCTGGGGGGATGGCCATGTCACAATCCCATCTCTTCCATTTTCCTCTTAGGATTTGGGCACACGTGCACATAGTGTGCATATAAGTACACTTAGCCTGATTTTCAAGCCACCCTGTCTGGGACTCAAACCATGTCAGCCATGTTGGAGTCCAGTGCCTTAACCACCTTGCTACCTATGGCCCTTGAGTAAATGGTTTAAGTCCC